AACTCTGTTAGCTTTGTCACTATGAGCATTCTAAATTCTTTTTCAGACATTTCCATGAGTTCCATTGTACTGTCTGTGGGTGAAGAGGAGTTATTATTTTCCCTTGGGGGAGAGGTATTTTCTTGGTTTCTCACATTTCTTGTGCCTCTGCAGTGATTTCTAGTTATCTGATGGGTTGTTTCTTCCTGATTTATAGAAGTTCAACCTGACTCATTAGAGATGTGCAGAAGGAGGTGATCTGCAAACAATTTGGTGTTCCATTTTTCTCTCTTTGTGCAGCAGATTCTGTGGGAATTGAGGAATATGTTGACCCTAATAGTATTCAGATGTGTGGCTATGGTTCACTTAGACCTGTCTAGACACTCAGTGTGTGAAGGCTGAGCAGTAAAGTGATAAGGTAAAAGAAAAAGAATAAGAGAAAGAGAGAGAGAGAGAAAGAGAAAAAAATATGTATTTTAAAAAAAAAAAAAAGAAATAGAATCACATGGTGCATCCACTAGTTTTCAGCTCCCATGGAGGACTCAGTCTTCTGAAAGCCTGCCATTTTTACCTCTCCTAAATGGGAGGGGGGAGATGGGATTATTAGCAAGATAAAGGAGGATTTCAGAGCCAAGAAAATATTTTACCTTAAAAAACTTAAAAAATAAAAAGACTGAGAGAGATAGAAAGACAGAAAGAGACAGAGAGAAGGGCCTCTACCAGGGTGAATTCTCAGCACGAAACCATTTCTCTTATTCCCTGAAAACACTAGTTCTCAACTCCCATAGAAGACTCCACCTTTTGAATTTTTAACTTTTTTTTTTTTAGGTTTTTGCCATTGGACATGTGTGCTTGATGAAGAGAGACAGTGAAAGGGAAAGTGAGAAATCATCCACGGGGGGAAATGGTCATTCTGCAATCCTTCTCCTCCATTCTCCTCTCGGGATTTTGGGCATGCATGCACACACACCTGGTGTGATTTTCAAGCTACAGGTCTAGTACTCAAATCACCATCGGCCACATGGAGTCCAATGCCTTAACCACTTCACCACCTGCTGACCCTGAATTTTTTATTTTTAGATGTTTTTTAGGAATTGAAATGAAGCTACCAAGGGATAACCCTATATAACAGCTATCCATGCCTTTAGCCATCATTCAATGTTACGACTCAATCTGTGAGTCAGAGAGCATGAACATTGGGCCTTCGATGCAGGAAAGGAAGCAAGCAGTTCATATGGAAGGATGGACTCTAGATGAGACACATTTGAACCCTCACTTTATTGTCCACTAGTTGCATGACATCTGAAGGACAATCGGGGAACTCTTTTTCCTTTATGAGTTTCAGTTAAAAAGTAGAAATAATTCCTATGTCACAGAATTCCTTTGAGAACGAAAGGAGACAGAAAGCTTCCTAATTGCCAGATACTATATTTGAACTAGTTCCTCTTTCACTTCGCCATTTCCCTTTCTTTCTTCTCCCTCCCTGTTACTTGGTGACGGGGTTGGAGTAAATTAAGATTAGACATATCATTGGAAATCACTGGATTGTTATGTTAAAAAGTTCTTTCCTGTGAGAGGAAAGGAATCAAGGAGAAAAATAGAGAGGCAAGACATTAGAGGGACACAGAAACAGAATATTGTCTGTTGATGATAACATGTATGATATATTCAACTGGACTGGTGAGAGGTGTTGGTAAATTCATCTCACGAGCTATAGGGATATACAGTGATTGAATGTATAAATACATTAAAATAATCATTTAAAATGAAGCCCTGTCCTTTACCCCAATTCCGGATACTGCCCTAGACCTCTGTCTCTGTGGTCAATGCCCCGATGCTTAGCTCCTCCCTACTGTGACCTTCCCTCTCCCACATTTCATTTCCTTTCTCTTTCTCTTCGAGCATCTGGGACAGAGGCACTATTTCCTCCCCCACCTGTCTCTGATTTCCAGCCTTGTGCTTTACTCATTTCTGGCCATACTAGAACAGAGCTAAATTAAATGACTTCTTTGAAAGGTTCCAGATGGAGCACTCAGCCTTTATGAGAGTGCTACCTCGGGCAGCTTGGAAATGCTTTTCAATCAATCTGCTCTGAGCAGGGGTCACTCAGCCTCCACTTATATCCTGTAGAGTTCCTCGGGGGCTGACCTCACCATGTTGACCCAGAGACTGCTAGACATCAGGAGAAGCAGGAGGGAAATAGAAGGCCAAAAGAGAAGGCTTTCGTTAAGCTGTGAAAGCGGATCAGTACATGCCATTTCCTGAAAGCAGCACTGGCATTTGGTGCTCAACCATCAGTGTTGAGTTGCAGGAAGTGGGTATATTTCATCTTTTCTGTTTCTGCTCTATATGTGTAAATATCACCACTGAGGTCTTCACTTACCTGTCCATCCATTTATCTATTCATTCAGCAAATGTGCATAGAGATAAATGGCCGGAACTTCCAGAGGAAACCTCACCCTTATTTCGACCCACCTATCATAAGGGGCTGCCCACTATGGGCCAGTCCCTCAAGCTTTCAAATCTCCACTTTCACCTCTGTATGATGAGGATAACAGGGCTTCTCTCTGCTTCTCTTGCAGGCTGGTCACAGAGTCCAAACAGTTCAGATGTGTGTTATAGCAAGTTGTCTACCATCACCCACTACATAAAGGCAAATTGCTCAAAAGAAATCAGCAGGCTCAGAAACACCATCAGTGAGGAAAAATCCAATTTAGTTCAGATTCACAGTATTTAATTGGTGTCCAAAAGGCCGAGGAATTTTCCTAGAAATAGTCCAACTTCCTGGAGTAGGACCACAGTGGGGCTATCCTCTGTCTATCCCTTAATTTCTCTCAATCTGCCAGATACTTCTTCCTCATGCACTGAGAAGTTTTGCAGCATGGCAGTTATCAAATACTGCACATGAACTAGGGTTGGTGGCAGCAGCAGAAGTGCTGGGTAGAGATTGAACGGAGGTAGTATTTTTATTTTCAAAGATTTATAGGTTATTTCTGAAGCTTTGAAAAAAATAATAATGAGTTCCTGAGACTCCCTCATGGAGGCTTTTATTGTATAAGTCTTGAGAGACTGTGACTTCCTCTGCAAGGGGCTTTCCCCGTGAGCAGCCAGGAACCACTGACCCACTGGCCATCACGTTGCCTTACCCTCATGAGCTGTATGGGCTGGGAGATATTGCTTTAAACACTACTAGGTCGTAGGACATCGGAAAAGTCACGACACGTCTTTCTATGCAAAAATGCATCATGGCTTTTTCAACAACCCAATAGTTGGGCCTGTAAGCCACTAAGGTGGGTGGTCTCTTCATGGTTCAGTGTGTAAACTCCCTGTAGTTTGCTAAAATGCTGACCCCTGTGTTGAGGTTTTCTGGGTGTAGGTATTCCTTCTTATAACCCAAGCTGGTGTTGGCACTTCCTCAACCCTGCTGGCTCTGGGCCCACTTCCAGGTCCTAGGGTGGGTTATATCAGGGGCCTTAAGTGAACACTCCATCACTTTGACTCAGATTGCCAGTGTATCTGGGAAGGTCAGCCTGCCTCACTCCTCTTCCTGAAAATCCAGGCCTGTCAACTCTACTACTATCCTCTATTTATTGAGCAAGGGCCTCCCCACAAACCTGTGAGAGGGGCAGGCATTGTTGTCCTCACTGAAGAAAGTGGAGACAGAGACCTAGAGCACATAGCCTGTCTCGGGAAGCTGGGAGCTGAGCCCATCCCTGCCTGACTCCAAAGTCCCAACGCCCCTCACAGTCTCATCCTCTCTCCGTTTTCAATGTGCCTGATATTATTCCAGGTGCTGCGAGATCCTGGAAAACAAAAGGGGAAACAGTCCCTACCTTTTAGAAACTTACATTAATTCAGAGACGAAAAAGGAAGTAACCTCCCAAATAAATATTTGCAAACTACAAGTACAAGAATGATTTATGAGAAGGGTACTGATTTAATCTGAGTTAGAAGGTAACCTGGAGTTGAAATCTGAAGGACAACTGGAAAATTAAGCAAAGAGGGGAAAATAGCAAATTCTCATAGAAGCAAACATATGGAGAAAGACCTTGAATATGAAGGAAAAATGGCCTTTTTGAGGATGAAAGTTCAGGACGGCCTGAGATAGAGGGGAAGATTAGAATAACCTTGAGAGACATCAAAGACCAGACCTCATAGGTCCTGTAGTTTTCATCCCAAGAACAAGAAAACATGAAAATTTTGAGACATGGGGTTACCTAAAGAGATACACATTTTGAAAAGCTCCTATGGGCTGCCTTCTGGGAACAGATGGAGAGGGGCAAATTGGAGACACTGAATGCCCATTAAAGGCTAATAACTAAGAGGCAGTGGTCCCCCGAGACGGTGCTCACGGTTCCACTTACCCTTGTGCCCCACGTCAGTCTTCCTAGCAGCAGAACCTGAGACCTGGTTCTTGTGGAAGTGACTTTTGGAGGAAGTACCTGCAGAACCTTGCAAGGGAGGGAGGGAGGAGAGTTCTGGGGAAGTCTGCCTCGGCTGGTTACACAGGAAGCCCAGGTGCAGGAGAGGTATTACAATGGGTTTTAACTCAGGGTCTGAGAACTCAGTCAGCCCATAGCTCAGGATGCTGGTGGACCCTGCCACTTAGGCATCACCAGATCAGGTGGCTCCTGCCAGTCAAAGGCAATCTTCCCCAGAAGGGAGAACTTGAGAGCTGCCGACAGTCACCCCACAGCCCGAGGACGGACGAGCCTGCTGGCCCAGTGAAGGTAACCCAGTGGCAGCACCGTGTAGCTACTGCAGCCCCAATCATGGTCCCCGGGGCAACATTGGCATATAAGAGGAATTAGACCCAACTTAATACTGTATGTTATTAAGTAGAAAACTGGGCTTCTGTTATCAAATTGGAAACTTACTCAGTTGATGACTTTTTAAAATGATCAGCTTCCCTGAAAGCCAGAACAGAGAGACAAAGGCAAGGTTAAGAAGAAAAGATTCTCATTTTTCCCAGGCTCTGAAGTCCTGGAACACAGGGCTCTCAGGGGCTGGGTGCAGGGCCAGGCTTTGAAGTGGGTGTGATGTGTTTCCTCCTCTGCATACAGTAGGTGATTGTGCGATGGTGTTCCCCAACTTCGACAGCCTCCAGCTTCACAATCCTGTGGCCAGCCCTGGCCCTGGGGGAGGTCTCTGTAAAAGTCACAGAATTCATCAGTAAAATGACTCCATTCTCTGAGGATTTCAACCTTCCTGCCAACAGCTTCAAGGGAAAAAAAAAAGAAGAAGACAGGAAAATGGAAGAAAGGAAAAGCTGCCCTGCACGTCCCTGGACATCTCTGCGTATTTAGTTGTAGGGTAGGTGACATTTACAGAGCGGAGGTAAACGACTGCCCTGAGCTGTCCTGGTGCTGGTTCTGGGGGAGAAACGTGGCACAAAAGCTCTCCTGTCTGGGAAGTGAGGAAAAGGAGGCAGGAGGCCGTTCAGGAGCCTGCTCACAGAGCACACAGGCAGGAAGAGGCGGAAGCAGGAGGACAGCGCAGAGCTGGCCTCACATCCCATGCAGACATGCCAGTGTCTGGGACCCTGGGACGTCGTTAACGCATGAGGACAGCCATACTCTGATTTGCTGTGCAGCCATCACGTATGAGTTCAAGAGGTACATTTCTTAGGCACATATTTTACCCCCAGGATCATCATCTATATGTTTGTATGCAAGAAACTCGGATACGTCAGTTTTTGTATCACATGATTTTTATTTTCCTATATTTCCTTGCACTTAGAGTCTCAGTTTTCTTCAATGTCCACATATTAATTTTTTTAAACTTCTATGAACATAAACCTAAAAACCATTTTTTAAACAAAATTTGCTATAGGTTGCATGTTCTTGCTGGAGTGAAACAGAGAGAGAGAGAGAGAAAATGAGAAAGGACCCCCCCAGAAGATGGCCACACTACAATCCCTTCTCTTCAGTTTTCCTCTCAGGATCTTGGGTGTGCGTGCACACACACACATCTGACATATTTTTCAGGCCACCAGGTCCTGGACACAAACTGCTCAGCTGGCCGTGTGAGATCCAGCCACCTTAACCACCATGCCACTAGCTAGCCTGAAAGCCAAATATGTTTTTATAAAGGAAAAGAGGAGAAGAAGAGAGGGGCTAGCAGGTGCGTGGTGGTTCAGGCACTGAATTATTATGGAGCCATCACACATGGATTTACACATGGCCAACCGCAGCTGCACCCCTGGACCTAGCGGCTTAAAAATCATGCCAGGCGCCCATGCATGAGTGCCCCCGAATTCTGACAGAATGAAGGGACTGGGGTGGCCACCCCTTCCAGGGGGTGATTTCTCACTTTCATTCTATTTTTCTGTCTATCTCCAGCCCACTCATGTGCCCTATGGCAAAAATGTTTAAAAAAAAATAGAAAAAGAAAGAAAGAATGAATGAAAGAAAGAGAGGGGAGGAGAAGAGGAGAGGGAAGGGGGCTAACCTTCTCTAGTGGTTTTAGAAGAACAGAGAAACTCACTGTGAACGAACTGAAGGACACGGGAGAGAAGGAAGGAAATGAGGATGAGCTGATGCAGGTCAATGAACAGAAGAGGAAGCAGCAGAATGAAGAGACGCAGAGGTGGAGGCAGGGATTCTCTGGCCTCTGGGAGGAAAAAAAAAAAGATCAAATCACTACCTTCAGAGGAATCCTCATTTTACAGATGTAGAAATGGGAAGCTGGGCTGTGGGGCCACCTCCACGGGTCTGCAGGGAAGGAAGCAGAGCTATCGTGTGTGGTCAGTCGTTACACAGAGAGAAAGGCATGAGCTCCGGGGCCAAGACCTGGATGTGAAGTCAGTGCCTCCACTAGCAGCCTGAGTGGAGAGAGAAGTAAAGGAAGAAGCCCCCAACATTCAGTCTCCACAGCTAGAAGATACTAGATGTGTCCAAACCCAACGCTCCAGGAAACTTACATTAAAAGAGAGCTGAAATAACTGCTTGGTACAGTGTGGGCCACAAATGTGACCTATTTCCTAGTCTAAAGGACCCCTTCTCCTCACCCCTATATCAGATTAGTCCATGGGAGCTTGATGGTAACAGATCTGGTACAGAGTCAGCAAAAGGAGGAGGCGTGGCTTTAGCACCTTCTCTCTATCTCTCTGATTCTATTTACCTCGCTCTCTTCCTATCTCTGTCTCTCCATCTTTCTATGTCTCTCTGTGTCTGATTCTGTATCATTTTCCACCTCTCCCTCCCCCCTTTCTTTCTCTGTCTCCATATCTGTCTCTGTGTCTCATTCTGTTCTGTGTCTGTCTGTGTCCCTTTGTCTATGTCTCTAAATCTCTGTCTCAGTCTCTGTCTGTATTCCTCTCCCTCTCTCATTTTCTCTGTTTCTGCCTCTGTCTCTTTCTATCTCCAGCTCTCCCTGTTTCTCTCTCACTCTCTCTCTCTCTCTCTTTCTCATTCTTTGCTTCTATTTCTGCTCTTCTGTGTCTGTCTCTCTGTGTCTGTCTGTCTCTCCTACTCTCCCTCACTTGATACACCTCTGTTTCTGTCCCTATCTGTGTCTGCCTCTGCCTCTTGCTCTCCCCCTCTGTCTCCCATCTCTGTCTCTCTCTCTCTCACACACACACCCTTTGTGCATAACCTCCTGGTGCTGTTTGTTTCCAAAGTTCATGAATGATCTCCCTGGGCCTAAAGGGAGCAGTCCATTGGAGGAAGGAGCTGAGCCCAGAAGAAGCAAGCTCAGGGTCGAAGCAGAGAGGAGAGCAAACACAAGTTGTTGGAATAACCTCGTGGTGGTGTCAGCCTGCCATGTTTGCCTCCACCCACTCCCTCTGCACACCTAAAACCTCCTTTTGTAGTATAGAGGACAGCTCTGCTCAGTGTTTGCTTTAACAGTGATGCTCAAATCTTGTCAGCTATCCCCCGGGCCTGGTCGATTGGGTTGTCGAAGTCTTAGGTGGTTTAACAGCTTCATACACAGGAAATCTTCCCGTCAGACAGCCCAGAGCTGCCATCTTCTCGGTGTGCCTGAGGCTCAGGGGATGAAAGATGCATTCACATTCACAATGTGATGGTAGTGATTCTACTGCCAGGAAAGTGCCATCATTTTTCCCTATTAGGAATTACTGGAAATGGCATCATGGACTCTTGGTCCTATAATCAGTGAAGTAAAACTAAAGAAAATTGAGTCCAACCTGGTTTCTACCAGCCACTTCTCTGGAGATCGGGTTCCTCACGATCATAACACAAGGAATTTGAACACGGTCATCATTTCCCAATGTGTGTTTCTCCACAAGCCAGTCACCAAGACCCTGCAGAAGCATAAAGTGGGTTGCTTTACAGCCAAATAATATGGGAAGCAGCACAAACTTAAATTTCATGATAAGTCTTTGCACATAAGTCGAAAAATTCTGCAGAAATTACGGCTGTTTTGTTCTCTATCCAACGGGTTAAACAAACCTACCCGATGCTAAGTTGCTTCTCTCACAGAAGTCAATGGTTGAAGCGTCTTCAGGGTAGGAGTGCAGGGATGCTAGCCTGTCACAACGCCCATCAGTGTCCCTCCAGCGTGAGCGCTGCAGATCGCTGAAATGATAAAAATCTAAGCAATGTGGGCTAGTTATGTTTTCACCTAGGGATAGGGAACTAGAAAGTGTGCCAAAATGCTAAGGGGCTGTAATCACTGGGTATCTTCGTCCATTTTGCATAGCGATAACAGACTATCACAGACTGGATAATCTTTTCATTTTACTATTTCTTTTCATAGGTCTAGAGGGTGGAAAGTCCAAACTGAGGGGCTGGCATCTGATGAGGGCCTTCCTAATGATCTGGTGAACCATTACATGGCGTGAGAGCAAAATTGGGCATGTCAATTCAGGGCTCTCTTTCTCTCCCTATAAAACCACCAGTCTCACCACGGGGACCCCGCACTAACGATCTTTTCTAATCCTAATAACCTTCCAAAGGCCCCATCTCCAAATGCTACCAACACACAAATTCAGAAATTAGGTTCGTAACATACGAAATTTGGAGAGCATATTCAAATCGTAGCACGTGGACATTCTCCCTTCACAGACATCCATGGCTTAGGCATGACTTGATGTGTCAAATTAAAAGTGTACCTTGCTACATGTAGCATTTAACACGTTCATTCTCTTCCTTTCTTGTCTGCGCTCCTTAGCCATCTTTAAAGTCTAGACATTGCCAGCCTGATTTGGAGTTCTACAGAGGTTTTCTAGGGTTGGGTTTCCCTTCTGTAACAACTGTTTTCTACCATCTGAGCATTTTTCACACTGAATTAGAATTGCTTGTTCATTTGCCTTTTTTTTGACTCTAAATTGGGAGTCCCAGAAGGTCTAAGCACACTGTCTTTGTAAGTTATGTAGCACCTGTGTATCTGACACTTAACAGGAATGTCTAACATGAATTTATCTGTCTAATTATTCATCTAATTCTTTAAATATTACAATATATCAGGTACCATCTCAGTTAGTTCTTTTCAGTATCCAAAGAAGTAGAAAGTGGCTCCACGTTTAATTTATAAATGAGAACCCTGAAGCTTAGGAACACATACTGAGGTTGCCAAAGTCCACACAACGATGAATTAGAGCAGAAATTTGAACCTAGGCAGTCGGACTCCAGAATGCTCACTCTGACCACCACTTCCTGTTACACAGAGGCACCTAGAAGATTCTCAGCGAATACTTAGTGAAATAGAACTCATTGAAACATTATTAAAAGAGCATTCTATAAAAGGGCTTCTTCTCAGTTTTGCATACTCTTGACTCTTGAGGCTACTAATCTGTTAACCCTCTTCAACCCCCGTGTCTTATCTCTGAAAACCCACAGAGGAATTTAAGTTCAGAACTCATGAATCCTGTCAATAAGTTAACTGAGTAAAAGGAAACCCATTCTCCAGAATAATACATGTATGTTGCACAGATTTTTAAATTAATTTTGAAGAGCTATATTGAGGTATAGTTTACCATTGTGGACTGAATGTGTCTCCCAAAAATACAAATGTTGGAGCCCTAATCCCCAATGTGATGTTATTTAGAGGTGGAGCCTTTGAGTGATAATTCAGTTGGATCAGGTCATAAGGGTCAAGCCCTCCTATGGGATCAGAGCCCTTATAAGGCAACGAAAGAATCAGAGCTCTCTTTCTTCATCCTGTAAGGATACAGCAAGAAGTGGACATTTATAAACCAGGAAGGGGGCCCTCACCAGACACCCAACCATGCTGGCACCCTGGCTAGACTTCTAGCCTCCTGAACTAGTAGAGATAAATGTTTACTTCTTAAATCACTCAGTCTATGACATTTATACAATAAAAAGGGTTGAATTAAACAATAGATACATTAAAACTAAAAGAGATGTATCTCATGGTATAGATTTGGTATTCATTTATACCGCCATTTCCTCCACCAAACCATGACAACAGTCTTTAATACCAAACTCACGCTCTTTCGCAATAAAGAACTGGTGAAAACTTCCAGTGCTGTAGTAGACATCTCTGCTGTGATGTGGAGGTCCCCCTCCCCTGCCCTACACAATTCCAACCAGTTATGCCAACACCCCCTTTTCTAGTCAGAGTCTTCATGCCTGGATTAGGTTAGCCATGAGCTGTTGCAGCCAGCCACATCTCATGCATTGTAAGCTCTCAAAGGAGGGTGACATTTCTTTTAGATCATTAGATGAACCCAAGAATAAACTAAGTAACATTTATGTCTAGAGAAAACATAGGGATTGATGACCACAAGCCTCAATTTCTCCATCTCTATCATGAAAACAATCCCTGCTACAAGCCTGGATTCTAGGCTGATTATGCGCTTAACAATCTATATAATGTTTACTGTATAGAGGAACACTCGAAGACATTTAAATATTTTCCACTCTGAAATCTTTGATGCCTAGATTTTAAGGACACAAATTTCCAAATAAATTTTTTTTCCTACTCTCTCAGCAGCTATTGTTCCCAAACCTCTTGCTCTTACGATTGAGACTGCAAATACCAAGATCTGTTTTGCTCAGAGGAA